AATCACAAAATTGCATGGGTTAAATTTTTGTGTTCCCTCCTGTTAATTTTGTGTTCCCAGTACGTTCCCTCCTGTTACTAGATATCCCTTTTTTTGTTGCAATTTAAGGGTAGGGCGAAGAAAATCTTGTGAAAAAAAATAACCTTTGCAAGCCTGGCGTAGAATAACAATATAGTCGTTATGAAGTCCTAGTCTGGCTCTAAAAAATTTTATTATGATTGAAAAAGTCACTTGTTGGACAACAAAATTTTATTTGTGTATATAACGGTTATAATGAATCTACAATGTCCTGCGACTGTTAGCCAAATGTTCGTGATTTATATTGACCTTCAAAAAATATTTTGGTCATTTCTTATAAATAAAAATGTATAAATTAATACTACATTATTAGAAATTCCTTTATAATATTTCAAATCAAAAATCCTTAAATTAATAAATGCTTAGACCAAAATTAAAATACCATTTAATTCTTATTGATCTTTTAGGATATACTATTGCTATTAATATTAATAAAAAATAGAACAGATATTTGTCTATGATTGTGTTATTCATTTTATGTGTGGATCTTTCATACCAAAAATTCCGAAATGAATTATTGCGCCCGTGGCTGAAATTTTGGGGTACTATTTAAAGATTCCTTTTTTTTTGCCTTTTTTTTTTTTTTGAAAAAATTAAAAATGAATTCAATATTTGAAAAATATTTTAATGAAAATGAAAGATTATTAAATACAGAAGATTTTTATGATGTAAAAATATATGTTGGTGTAGAACCAAACATTAAAGAAGTTCATGCACATGCATCTATCATATCAGCTCATTGTCCATTCTTTGGCAATGTGTTAAGCAATGCAACAAAAGAAAATGGATATTATATTATTAAGAAAGTTAATATTAGTGAAAAATGTTTCAATCCTATTCTCAAGTAAGTTTAAATAAATTTATTATTATATTGAATTGTTTATTTGAATGTATATTATAATAATAATAATCTGTTTAATAATTTCTTTATTTAAGATTTTTATACACATGTAAATTTGAATTTGATAATTATTCTGGAGATGAAATATTAGAACTATTAACTTCAGCAGATGAACTTGGTATTGAATCACTTTATGATGAAATATTTCATTGAAAATTATGATGATCATATAAAAGAAAATCCAGTTAAAATTCTACAACTGATTTATGCTAATGAAAAATTTAAAGAATTAAAAAATATCTATTTAGAAAAGATTTGTGATTATAGTGAAAATTTATTCAAATCAAGTGAATTTAAATCATTGGAAAAACCAGTTCTGTTGGAAATTCTCAAAAGAGATGATTTTTCTGTTAGTGAAATTGTTATTTGGGAAAATATTCTTAAATGGGGATTGGCAAAGCATCCTGAAATCAATAATAATAATAATAATGTTGAAGATTGGTCATCACAAAATTTTGTTGATTTAGGCAACACATTAAAAGAATTCCTTTCTCTGATAAGATTTCGGGATGTTTCTAAAGAGGATTTTCTCAATAAAATTATGCCATATCATATGCTTTTTCCTTGGACTTTATGGAAGGATATTTCACATTATTATTTACTTCCAGATAAACAACAAAAATTAAATTTATTATCATCAAGAATTTCAAAATTGAATTCAACACTTGCATCATTGACAATCAATCAAAATCTTACTTTGCTTTTTGCAAGTTGGATTGATAGAAAAAACCCACCATATAGTTCATTCAGAGAGGTCAAATATAAATTCAAACTTTTGTATCAGAGTAGTAGAGATGGTTTAAATCCAGTTATATTTCATCAAAAATGTAATAATATCAACAAAACTCTTGTAGTTGCCAAAATACAAAATTCAGATCAAATAATTGGTGGCTATAATCCCCTCAGTTGGAATGGAAATGTGTTTGATAAACATACAACTGAAAGTTTTATATTTAATATAAGTAATAAAAATAATATTAATACTGCACAATTTAGTTATGTTATTAATAACAAGTGTGAACATGCAATTTATTGTCATCCAAATTTTTTACCACTTTTTGGTAGTGGTTTTTTAAGTGGTTTTTGTGGTAGTTCTAATGAATGTGATATTTATTTTGAAGAAAATGGTCATATTCGTATCAGACCATCAAGTTATGTTAATATCAATATAGTAGACAATAGTATATTTGATGAATTAGAGGTTTTTCAAATTAATTAATTATATTAATTATTTACTATCTTACCATACTATTTAACCTAACAACAATTTTTCTATGTATTATTTGATAAATTTAAATAAAATAATGAGAATTCTTTTTCTGATTCATTAAATAAAGGTAGTAATATTAATAATGGTAATACTACTAGTAGTATTTCTTAATAATAATTATAATTATTAAAAAGAAAATTTCTTTTAGTGATTTGTTTTTTTTTCTTTGCTGCGCTGGCTTGAAATGATTTGCAAAATGATTTGAAATTTTGTTAATTAATAAATAAAATTGAAATTTGAACAGAAATATTTTCGTTTTCCAAAAAAATGATAAACGGTTATGGTTATTTTACGTCCCAGTACCAATTGTTATCTTTTTTGGTTCAAAACGTTAGGGTTGAGCGAAACAGATATTTGACTGAAAGGAAATCGTGTTTCGTTTTAGATGTTTTTTGCGTGGTGTCAACCGCTGTCTACCGTTAGGTCTTCGCCTTTCTCCGACGTTTCGGACCATTCAAAATGACCAAAAACTGATGGTCTTGTCTTGGAACCTTTACCTCTGATCGTCAAAGGCTTGTCACACAACATGTTGTGATATTTTTTGGTCACGAGACCGGGGTTCAAAAACATCTGCACCGTAATACTATATACAGCAGGGTTGGCAAATGTGCAGTCCATTGATGGTCTATTGGTAGTCCATTGGGTTCATTAGTGTGATACTTTAACCATATTTAGTATTTTATTAATGGCAATGGACCAGTCCAAAATCCATCTGTTCTCAATGGACCAGTCAATTTGCCAACCCTGAGTGGAGTTCCATCTTCTATAAAGCTCAGTTCTTCCTCATCAGCTTCATTTGTTTGATAATTTTCATTATTTATTATGAGTACAACTGCTCTATCCTCAATTTGCATTTGACTGGCCACCACAATCACTTCTCTATGATTCTCCTCTTCCTCTTCTACTTCCTCTTCATCATCTACTTCTTTTCCTTCATCCATTTCTTCTACATCATCCACTTCTTCTACATCACCCACTTCTTCTACATCATCCACTTCTACATCATCAATTTTTCTACATCATTTATTTCTATTTCATGTCTCTCTCTTCATTATTCACAACCTCTCCCTCTTCATCATAAACATCTTTTAACAGATTAAAAATTTCATCAGGTTGTAATGGCATTTTTATATTTTCGTCTTGAATAAAATCCTTAATCTTATTGTATAAAGCATGTAGGTCAAATAATTAGAATGACAATTTGTGGCAATAACCAACACCACTTTTCTTTTTAATAATCATTAACTAGAGTGACGTTGAGTAATGATGAGTGGTGATAGCCACAACCATAAACACTTATCCAGCAGGAACAAATTCCCTTTGTCATTTATTATTACTTCTGGTGTCTTTTGGCATTTTTAAAGATGTGTTATGAAAAAAAGAAACACGTGAACAAAATATTATTAATTATTATTGGCACTTGGTGTTGCACAAGGAATTTTTTTGGGTGACAGATGCAAATTGGGGGGTTTTTTTTTGGAAAAACATTTATTTTTCAAGGTGAGGAAATGTTAGTGTTGTTGTTTGGTTCTCCTAAGATGTGTTAATAACAGAGGTACTATTTTTTATTTGAATTGATATAATGTGGTGCCTTTTAGTTTATAAATATTTTGATTGGAATCAAAACGCAGAGCAGATCTTTATGGGTAATTATAAGATCCTTATCAAGATGATAATAAATGAACAATTGGTATTTTGCTTTTCGTAATCAGTAATAATATTAATATTAATATAATTAATTACAAGTCAAAACAGCATGACTGAAACAATTCAAATATGAAACAATTCACATTTAAATATGCAATGTTTGATTATTACAATAAAAACACTAAATTAGCAAAGAACAAAGAAAATTAGTTAAAAAAAATTATTTAAAGGGTAAACACCATATTGCAGCATTGATGCCACTGCTCATTATAGTTATGATTGAGCCCAAAATGTTCATGTATCACATTTAGATCAACAAGTAAGTAAAATCTATTACTTTAGTCCATGTAAAGTCCATTTATTTGGCATTCAAGATGAAGCAGTAAGGGAACAAATTAATTATGTTCTTAATGAAGATGAAATTATAGGAAAAGGACCCAATGG